TAAAAAGTGGCCACAGCATTTACAGAGCTGAACACTCCTTAAATCTATCTTCTTAAAGCCTCAGAGAGAAGAATACAAAAGTTTAGCTCAGACAAGAACGTGGTCCTCTTGGTGTCCCGTGCTGACACATATTCAGAGCAGCTCTGTGTAACACAGCAGATTGTGCAAGGGGTTGGACTTCTAAAAGGCACTTCTTTCAGATCTAGATAAATATTTTGTGCAAATTGATTTAGAAATCACCCAGCCACATGAGCTGAGAACTGAATCACCTTGTCTAACCTATGCATCTGACATTAAAATAAGCTAGCTTATACTAACAGAAAATTTTCAGTCTGAAGTGAGTTTTACATGTTTTAAAAAATAATTATTTTTGCTAAAATGTCTTCATTTTCCTCCTTTTGTAAGTGTAAAAAAGTGAGACACAATGCTTTTTACCTTGCATATTCCCACTACCATTTAATTAAGTCTTCTTTTTAATGCATCTCATTTCTACAGTAGTTGGGATTTTTAATAGATTTAAAAACATAGCAGTTCTTAGGCATTTATTGGGAGCAGCTCATGACTCCAGGAGACACTAGTTTGAAACCACATAAATAACTGCAGCAGAAATCACCTTGTGGGATCAGTGCAGGGAATCCAGTTCACTGCTGGATCAGGGATATCCTCCAGGTAGGGGTAGATGGTTTCTCTCGTGAAACGCCAGCCATAAATGCCGTCTTCAGGAGTCACAATGATGTGGGCGCCCTGACACAACAGGCTCCGTTAAGAATTCACCCATCAACAGATAACCAGGAGGAGAAGAAAACACTAATTAACAATGCTCACAACACACCGAGTACCTGCTGGGCAGCTTCCTTGATGGCCTCTTCCAAGACATCCATGTTTCTGTTCATCAGGGCCAAAGCATCCTCAGGAGAAACAGGTTCAGCAGCGGCATCTGGCAGGATGACTGCGTGCTCGTAGACGGCTGCAATGAAGGTGTCAGAGGCAAGGGCCTGAAGGACTGCGAGTGCGAGCACTGCAGTGTGCAGGAGAGTCTGGGAAGGGAGCATGGCTGGTGCCTCACAGCTCCTGGATTGGGTGTGGGGAATATAAACCGGGTAGAAAGAGGAGGAGTAAAGGCTAATAAATTTGCTTTGGAAATAATCCTCTATTGAGTAATCTGGGAAGGTACAGGATAGATCTGCCAACAATCAGGATGTTTATTTATAGTAAGATGTTAAAGAAACATCTCTAGGAATTGGATCTTGTTTCCAGCTTGAAATACTCTAAATAAAAGGTGAACAAAAGGCTAACAGAGCATGTCAGAAGCAATGTTGATCTAAAAGGGACTTTGTGGAAGGAGCACTTGCACACTCCATTTGCACATCCCCTCTCCAGGCTTCCAAACCCATCTTGGGGGAGTCCAGACTCCCCAGGTTAGGGCACACTACTTCCTATAACCTTACTGCACACGGCTGCCATCAGTCAAATATTCAGTCAGTGCTGCAGGCAGAATACCTGTATGTAGTACAGCCCTTGTGCTTCAGAGCATAGCTGATTCATCTACGCTTACGAGACTCGTGGTCCTGCCATGCCTCCTGCCTTTGGCCAATGGCTTATTTAGTTATAGCAGGTGCCCTGAGAATCTCCTCCCTCCTGGGCTCATACTACAACACAAACTAACCCTTGAACTGTGCTGGTCTCTCTGCCTAGAGCTAACACTCTTGCTTGTTTTGTGGGAAAGAATTAAACACACAGATATTTTTTTTTTTACTGTTTTTGTTACAAAAGGCATTATTTACAAATTAACAATTTGACATTACTCATACAAAGCAGATTTTTTTCTCACTGAAAGCAATTTTTACATAGTATTTTGGAAACAGAGTATTACTACTAGAGCTTCAAGTTATTCATAAAAAGACCTTTGTTAGAACTTGCAGTATATGAGAGTAAAGGAACATAACCTGGCTAATCATTTACCACTCAGCAAGGGACCAAGGAAAATATACTTCATCCTGGAAATATCTTCCTCTTCACTATGTAGCTTCACTGAGAAGTCTTTATTTTTGTCCATCAGCACCAAGGCCTCCTCAGGAGGAACGGGCACTTCAGTGTCCTCTGACAAGAGCACGCTGTGCTCGTAGACGGCTGCGATGTAGCTGCCCAGGGCACAGGCCTCCACTGCGGACAGCACCGAAAGCACGGCACAGGCACAGGCACAGGCACAGCCTTTAGGAAGGCCCATGCCTGGGGGCTGGAAGTCGCCCAACAGGAGGCCGGGGACAAGCAAAGGCAGGGGGGGGTTAAAAAGAAAAGTCTTGTACAAAACCTGGGAGTTCCCCAGAGCGGCAGAAAGCTGACACCAGGAAATGCAGTCGCCCCGCCCAGAAGGTCGGGCACCATCACAGGCGAGAGAGCCGCCGGCATTGAGCAATGCGGCCTTGCACCACCGGCAGGGGAGTCACCGCTCTGCTGCAGCTGAAGAAACACGTCGCTTGCCAGGTTTACAGATGATTCGGGCATGGCACTGCTGTAGTAATGCAGTTCAAGGCAAGCCCAGGTTACCGCAGGAAAGCAAGCCAGAGTTTGGGAAATCTCAGCAAAAACCAGCACGGACACATGGCTGCCCGAGCTCGAGGGTGCGGGTGCAGGCAGGGCTGCAGGAGGAGGCGGCCGGCCCCCAGCTCGGTGCTGCTGTGCTGGCGCTGCCTGTGCCGCCCCTCCGCAGCACAGCGCTGTCTCAGAGTTGCAAGGCCTTTGGGGGCTGCGCATCGCAGGGGGACTGCCAGCAGGCTGTTTTTCTGAGCAAACCCATTAGCACACTGCTCAGTAACTGAGCTCTGAAGATCTTTGACTCCCAAAGGTCTCTGTTGGAAAAGCATCATGAATGGGAGCCATAATATCTAAATTTTGCCTACAGCAACCCACTTTCTTATATCTACAGATCACTCCAACAGAAATCTTGAAGTTAAAACTGCATATGCACAAAAGTTACTTGCATCTCGTCACCCACATTTCTTACCTTCTTTGGTTCTGATTCAGCTGTCAAGTAACAGAACACTTTTTGCTGCACTTCCCTCGAAGAAGTGTTTATTGTTATCGGTGGTTACAACGCAGCCTTGTCTTTATATAGACTGAGTTGGTGCGTGGATAATAGATAGTCTTGCATAGAATTACTTTCTGTATGCTTGACTCACATCCCACAATAACACATTTCACAACAATAACTGTTATGCAATCTTTGTAGCATAAAGAATTTAGTGCCATTAGGGCTTATGGCAGTCCTCTATAGGAAAATAGCATACAAATATACCTAAACCAAACCACAATGGCCTTGAACCAAATCCTGAATTCAAGATTACTCACCAGATTCAGAGTTGGGATCGTATATTACTTGCACACACATTCCCTTAGCCAGAGGACTGGTATTAGCAGTGAACAAACCTGAAGGAGCTGCCTCTCTGTTCTTACTAGCCATGTGCTCCTACTGAATCCCTTCTGCGTTGCAAGATGAGATCTTCTTGTGTGCCATAGCCTCCTTAAATCCAGATCCTTTCCTTGGGAGAGAGTTGCAGTATCACCCACAAGGTTCCTGGGGCACAAGTACAGCATCTGCACTGCATCTGTACCCATGGGAAGAAGATCACACTGGATAATCCCTTGCTGAACTGAGATCAGCCTGTGGTCAGACAGTAGCTGACTCCAACAGTGAACAAGGTGTTAAGAAAGCCTGACTCTTAACAGCAATGATGCTGGGCTCCCATGAGTCAGAGTACATTGTCTCGGGCTTTTGATAAACATGTGATTATTTTAGACATGACACTATGTTATGTCACATGTGATTATCTATTTACATTTGAAAACAGAAGAGATCATATGGTGCACAGCAGTGATAATCACTGCTGGAGTTCAGAAAGTATTTGCACTCCCAATGACTCAGCGCCTCCATAACAGAAGTACATGGGACTGAGGACCTTGAGAGCACCATGCAGAGACCAAGAATGGTGCCAGTGTGGGGAAAAGAAAGGAGAAATTAGACTAAGAGGGGTCTCTGACCACTCTTACAGACACAGAACATGCACATCTATACACTGATATGCTGAAGGAAGGTCACTCGGGTCCCTCAGCAGCAACAAAGCACAGGTCACTGGGCAAGAAGAGGAAGCAAAGATGTGAACAGTGCCTTCTCACCAGGATTAGCTGGTCTTAAGTAGAAATCTAAATGCCTTAATCCCTACAGCAAATTCATCTGCAGGGCAGCACCGCCCAGCATTATCATGATGGAGTAAAGGACAAGGCTTATTTTGCATGTGTTGCTGTTACATGACAGAAAGTAACAAAGAAGATGGGAAGGAGGAGCTGCTATATGATACCAGGCCACTCAGTGACCTCTTTACTGCATGCAAACAGTTCCAGCACTGAATAGCATCTAGTGCAGCCAGCAGACTGCAACTGTTGTTGCTCAGAACTGGCAAGCAGAATACTTTGAGGTTTCAATTCCAAGTTTTGGTTCAACAGAAGTTTCAAAGAAATGATGATTCATGTTGAGTTCTGACCAAGAAGTGGTGGCAGGTTTTGTTTCAGAGTTGGCTCTTTGATTAGAGTCCTTTCTCAGCCTCCATGATCCACTATTCTGTGCTGCCATGTGCCACATAACAGGCACCAACAGCATAAAGGCAAATAAACCAAAGCAATACAAACAGGAAAAAAGAAGCATGAGTGGGGTAAAAGATCAGATGTGCATAAATCAGCATAAGTAGATGTATATCAGAGAAAAAGCGTTCTTGAGCTGTTTTGTATAGAGCTGCCACAAATCACATCTTTCACCGTTTTATTTACTGGTCCCATAATAGTTTGCAATTATAAAATATGTGATGTTAGTTTAATGAGAGTGTATTCTCTGGTCCACAATACAGTTTTTCTGAGGGCTAGAAAAATAAAAATTCAGAAAACAGAGAAACACAACTGCTGTTTTGCACTAATATAAGATTAGTAATATTATAACATAGAAATAGATACTTCTCAATAAATGGGAGCAATAAAATCGTATTGCTGAATGACTACTAAACAAAGTACATTGATAAGAAGTTTGTGTAGCTGGAAAATAAAAAACAGAATTGGAATTGTTATACTAGAGGATGCTGTATCTCATTTGGACATAAGATTAGTAGTATGCAGCTTCACTTATGGTAATATTATGGGAAGGTTGGAGGTTGTGGATCTTGTTTCAGATGATCCTTTTCATACCATCGTCCAAAAAGCGTCACAGTGACAACTGGTTTTGTTGGTCCTGTCTTACTTATCAAGCGGCCATCATTCAATACCTGGTTGAAAAAGGTGAGAGAAGGACATGATTAAAGGAATACCCACATGAACATGCTAAGAGCTCAGAGAGATGTGACAAAACAGGAAGAAGGTACGTCAGACCATATCTCTTACTGAAACTAGTGACTTCATGAAAAGGTGTTTAATAGATCTGATTATTCAGTATGAGCAAGTTCACTTTGGCTATTTTGAGACAGTATATTCCACTACTATCCCACAGGAAACCTAGCATGACACAGCTCTAAGATGTCCCATTACCTCAAACTCCCCGGGGGCCAGCTGCACCCCACTGTACAAGACTTCTGGAAAGACATAGTTGGTGCCAAATGTGCCACTGAGGGAGAACCTCTCAAACTTGGTCTGAGCCATCTCCACTGGCTGCCCACACGTGCTGGGATCTGTGCTCTTGCATTTGAGCAGCGTGCATATCTGCAGGGAGAAGACAACAACATATTTAGCCAGACAGAAACACTCTGGTAGGAAAGCCCTGTGTCATCAAAGCTAGTGTCTGTTGTAACAGGTGACCAATCACTGGACTTCCTTCATAATCTTTAAGCGACTCCTTTTTAGTTGTAGTTTATTTTTTCACCCTTTGATCTGATTGGGGGTATTCCAGACCTGCACTGCCATTAGAAATAATGTGTTTCTCATAGAAGTGCTACCAGAGCACCTTACTTCATCCCTAAAACCCAATCCTGTCACTTCCACTAATTCTTCCAATTGCTAGTTCTCTTGTTTAAAGGTTCCTTTCCCACATATCTTAGTAAGATGAGTTTGTGAATGGAAATTTTAGACTAATGAAACAAAGTCATCCCCATGGGTACAATGTGGAGCTGTACATACATGTCCTTTTACTGGTATTTGTACATGTTGCTAATGATAATTCATTAGATGGCCTGGTAGTCCATGGGAAATATGAATTTGATGTTCTTGATCCAACTTGTGGTGAATATATGTCAAGGTGATGAAGTTAGCATCCTCTGTTAGCATCCTTTGTGTTAGTAGTTGCAGCACACAGAGAAAGTAGGAATGGCAATATTTTTCTTTTGTCCTTAGAGTTAATTATCCAGCTGATAGATGTTTATGGGCATCATGAAGAAATATGAAATAGGGTTAGAACTCCTGTGAAGATTCAAAGGATGTTGTCTGGTTTTGCTGCCAGGTGATGGGAGTTTTTCTATTTGTGTCAGATATTGGAGGATAGAAGAAGCATATTTGCAAATATCAGAAGTATTATTCATCAGAAAATACGGTTTTGTGCTGAAATGCAAATAAGCAGAGAAATAAAGAATAAAATTCTCTCAGTATGTTCTGATGAAAAGAAAAAAATACTGAGGGAAAAAGGAAGAGTAGAAATTCCTGTCTTCTCTAGAAAATTCAGTACGGGTAGAGACCATCTGGCAGCTTCCACAGTCACTGAAATAAATTTTCCAAGTGAGCTCACCAAGAACAGAATTTATTCAAGCTACCTTCTTAAATGTATTAGATGAGCTGTTCACTGTCTGAGATCTCCCCCCATATCATGGCGTCTGCACCAGCTGATATGTAAAAGCTGTTCTGAGAGACAGAAGTAACTAACTAAAAAAGAAGAATCTACTAGCACAATAACTTGATTATGAAAGCAAATAAATTTTTCTAAAATGCCTTGAAGGAAATTCACCCAAGATGTAACTCACTGTCTTCTTAAACATTTGATTAAAAGAGAGGAAGAATAAAAATTCTCTTATTTTTTCCAGTAAAAATCATATGCCATTTCAGTCAACTTCATTGTTATGATTCGGGTAATGACAAAAAATGAATGTCTCTGTGACTTTAAATTAATCAGAGTGTCTCATAAAGATGGATATGATCAACTGATTTTTTCACAGGAACTGTCTGATGAAGATTACATAGGAGTTTCAGAACACTTACTGCAGATAGTCACAAAAGAGGACCTAAATTTAGTCAATATTGCACACTAAAAACATTAGTGAACACACTGGGAACCTGAAAGAGGTTTAGAGACCTTTCCACTGCATTTGATGGATTTAAAGGTAAGCAAGCTTGGGCATTTTAGCAACTATTTCCCATTGCTAACAGATAGGACAGCAGGACTCCAGCATACAGGAAAGTCATTGTCTTTTTCCCCCAGAGCTGAATGTTTCTCCCTGTAAAGAAGCTTCCTAAAATAACTACTCCCCCTCCAAAAAATCATTACCTGCAGATAGTACTGTCCTTCAACAACATGAAGCCCATCAAAAGCACCCAGAACATAAAGTTCATCTTCCTGTTTCCCTGCCATCTTGTAGCTCAAATGACAGCAGAGGTCCTTCTGGCAAACAGTGAAATTCCCCTCACGCTTAGTGAGTTCAGTGAAAGTGAACCAGTCATGGAAGATGAGTCCTCCGAAATCATAGTCATTTGGTGAGAATCTTCCAACACTCAAAGCATATGAGCTCCAGTTGACAGCGGGCAGGGAGGCAGGAGAAGGGCGAGGGTGTGAGTCTAGTTCAGCAACAAGGAGGCGACCATCCTCAGTTTTCATATTGTAGTAGTATGTTCTGGCTCCATCTGGTGCATAAATACCGCTTCCTGAGGAGAGCACAGTACTTAGTTCAAAAAGAATAAAAAGTTTCATATTGTCCTTTTAATTGTCCCTATTGCTAGCTTATCCGCTGATTTTTAAATACTACAGAAATTTTAGTCTCAACCAAAAGTGACCATTAGCAACTCAGTATATGGAGTTCATACTTTGGCAAAGAATAGCATTTATTTCACTGGGTGAGGTCTGCTCAGTGCACCCAAAGGCAGAGAATGTTATGTTATGGTTGTGTTTATGGCCTCCCCAGTTGTCTTTTCTCCTGAGTGAACCAAAGCTAATTGATGCAAAGGGACCGTATACCAAATGAGAACATCCAAACACAACACAGGCAAGTATCACAGGCCCATCTTGGTGAACACAACAGTTGTCCCACCTGATTTACACTGGCTGAGGACTCCTCCCTATGTGGGGAATTCAGACCTCACCAGTGCCAAGTGACAGAGGGAAACCAAAGATCTGTTATACACATACCTGCCAAAGAGTCACATAAAATGGACAACAACCAGTAGCCTGTCAGGCAACTGTCAGAATCCCCAAGCCAATACTGTGGTTTCACAGCTCAGTGAAGATACTGGTCTAGCTGAAATACACTATTTGATAAGCTAAGCTCTAGAAAATCAGTGCTAAACTATTAAAGAGAAAATGCAGACTTCTCAGCAGCATTACTGCAACAGGTCTGAAATTTTTTTTCAAGACTTCTCCACAATTGTGTTAAATACAGCTACGAATAAGTCTTTCATTTTGCCAGAATAAATGGAGCCATGTATGCAGTTTACAAGTGTATATATACAGTTTGGCATACAATCACAGACTTAGAGGTGAAAGAGCCTAAGTTTCAGAAGTTTCTACTCAGGTAGAAGGGGCAGTAACTTACTACTCATTTAGAGGCATTAAAAGAAAGAAAGGAAAATCCTAAGAAAGGGAGAAGAGAAGAAAAGAAAAGACCACAAATTTTGCTGTGCCTTGTATGGAACCAGGTATTGGGAAGCATTTCTTTACAGAAGGGGTTGCTAGGCATTAGAATGGGCTGCCCAGGGAGATGGTAGAGTCCCCATTCCTGGAGGTGTTTAAGAGTTGGGTCGACATAGCGCTGAGGGATCTGGTGTAGTTGGGAACTGTCAGTGTTATGTTAATGGTTGGACTGGATGATCTTCAAGGTCTTTTCCAACTGAGATGATTCTGTGATTCTGTGAACCAGTAGGGACAGGATTTGTCAGGTTTACAGTTTGGTGACTAGACTCCTCACCTTTCAGATAAATACACTATATTCTTCTGAAAAATCATCTGGCAGAACAGACAATAAAGATTCATGGTTATAAAGATTTTTCATACACAGTGAGAATTAATTACCTGTCATAGACATGTTGGTGTAGTGTGTATCAGCAGCTAAGAAGTTGACACCCATGCCAATAGCCCAGGCAGAGTGAAACTCAACAGCAGTCAGAAATGGCAGGACGTTCATCCAAGCTGTGGGGAAAAGCACGGTGTCCACCTGCAACTCGCTCACCAGGACCACAGCAGGCTCACGGAAGAGGATGTCAAAGCAAGTGAAAATGCCAAACTTTCCGAAGGGGGTCTCAAAGGTGATGGCTTCTGGCTCTTTTGGATAATTAAACTGAATTTCTGACATAAATAGATTATACTGTAGGAGAAGGAAAAAAGAGAAACCACTTAAAGGCACCTACTGCAATTTCTTGGAGTCATTCCCTAAAAATGTTCAGAAGGACCAGAGAAGTTTTTTTCATCTGTGTTTGAAGCCTTCACACATATGAATTCACGCTAAAATTGTATGATCACCATAGTGCCCAAAAGGTCAATATGGGAAGACACATATTGCCCTGGCATCTAGCTAGAAAAGCAGCCAGCTATCTGCAGGTCTATTGGTGTCAGCCATCTGCAACTCCCATAAAAATAATCTCTCCATTCTCCCCACCTAGTTTATAATTTTGGTGACCCAAAAGACACATAGAGGAGAAATAATAATGGAAGAGGAGCATGAAGGATCTGACGCCAAGAGACAAGATTGGTGACCTTAGTGTGGAGATGTGCAGAAGGACTGGAAGCACACAGTTCCAGCAGGAAGCATGAGACAATACTGGGAGACTGCAGAGTGGAGAAGAAAACAAAGGCTGTGGTGATGAGGCAAAGGCAGATGACCTCAGCCAACAGAAAAATCCCAGTTTGCCACATTCTTAGCTTTGCAACATTTTCCTTCTTCCTTCATATTCACATTTATTAAAAGAGTCCTTTAATCTCCAGATGGCCTGGACAATAAACCTGTGCACTGAGCCAGAAAAGAGGTCCAAGTTTACTGAACTTGTAACTCAGTGCCTGGGCTGTGCCAAGCTGGCACGTGGGGGACCAGACTCACATTATCAGTGTCCCACTCATCCAGTTTACTCACAAAGAAATATCTTGGCATTGTCTCTGACGAACTAGGTGAAATACTGGGCCTGAAATACATTAAATAAACAACTGACTTCAGTCTAGCCACATTGGCATGATATCTGGCACACGACCCACAAACAACTTCAATGAACCTTGCAGGTAGCCACATAAAACTGAAATACTATACTTTCAAAGGGTGCAAATGTTTCAATGCCTTCATCTCTTTCTACACCCAGCTTAGTTTCAAGGTTTTGTGCAGATAATACCTGTTATGCAAAAACTATGCTGAAACATGATCAGAAAAAAAAAAAAAGGAAAGGGCCTGTCTTCCTTAGATCAGACTACTCATCTAAGATGAGATGCAGATAAACATTTTAAAATCTGGAATGCGAAGGGGTAGTCTGGTGAAAACCTGGCATTGAAAAGTAAAGTTGCTTAAGCAGCAGGATTTCCAGTAATAGGAAGTTAATGAACTGAGGAAATCAACCAAACCACATGTCATTAAATTGGACCTGAGCAATCATTTTTCATGCTAGTCTGTTTTGAGAAACATGACAGCAAATGCAAATTTAGAGTCAACACTTCAAAGCAAGAGAAAGCTTCCTTTAAATTATAAACAGAAGGAAACTCTGCCATGTGACTATGAGCGGCATTTAATTCTCTTGACAAATGAAGACATTTTGGAAGGAGTGGAAAAAGAGCTCCTGATTTTTCAAGGCCACTTTACCTTGTGGTAACGAGCCACCAGTTTCCCCTCTGAGTCAAAGACGACGTTGGTATTGTACTGATAGTGACCATCACTGGGGCAGCCGGGATCACTGGAGTTACATGGCTTCTTGTCCCCGATGTTTGCAACCACATAGATGGAGTTATTCCTAGCCATACAGCTGAGTCGTTCCTGCACTGGTGTTGGAGCAAATCTAACGTATTTTAGGGAAAAGAAAAAAAAATAAAATTAATGAAATCTGTGCTGTCAGTGGTGTCCACCACTGGAGTGCTGGAATGATTCCGATCGTGCAGTCTTGGCAGGGCAGGCAGATACACAGGGTTGCTGCAGCACTCCCTCAGGTTGCCTCCCTTGCCTGGAGTAGGTCCCAGAGCCTTCCCATTGGCATCCAGATGGACATGTCACCCCTGGGCTACCTGCCAGCGTCCTGCAGCACCCGGAACATGCTCTGCAGCAAGGAGATAATTCTAGGGCTGGGAAAAGGTAGGAGAGGAATCACTGAGAGACTAACTTGGTGTCACACAGGAGAATATCTTAGCATCTGGCATAGCCGCACCTGAGGACTGTAGCTCTGGGCCTTTGACATACCAAGCAGAATCGAGCTGTGGAATAGTGCAGCTGATGCGGTCAAGGCAATTAATCTCCCCCTACAGATGGGAGCACACAGTTCTCTAGCCATGGCATGAACAGAGTGGGATATTAATTTCAAGATGTGACAGGACATGTGCCATAAACTGGCAGCACCTCTGAAACATCTGTACCAGGCTGGAAAGAGAAGACACATCCTCCTCTGTATGGTAGCAATGCATATGCCTTTGCAAGGTGTGCATGGACCACACAGGAGGACCACCATGCAAGATACATATACAGCAAGGAATAGGGCATGCCAGACTGTGATGTCAGGTGCTATATTCCCACAAGGTGATAATGAAAACCCTGATTTAAAGCAGTGAAGAGACACAGAGATCAACTTCACAAAAACTGTGCAAAGTACTAGATTAAAGACCTACAGACATGTGGCCATCCCACACCCCACATTCACTGAAAGACTGTATATTTCAGGTACTTATGTCTCAGTAAAAAGCTGCACATCCTGGACTTCTCACTATTGTGAATATTCCTCTCAGGACTGTTGAGGAATTGCAGCCTCACAGGTGTCATAACATGCTCTAAGCACCTCATCACTGAGCAGGTGCAGAAAGCCGTGCTGAAAAAGGCAGACCACAGCTGTAGTTTTATGGCTGAGCATGCAATGCATGCTGTATGGATCTGAAGTCCAGCACTCAACTATAGGTGAGCTTGTCCCTGCTGGAACATGATGCCTGAATGACAGATCATGTTCTACAGCACACAGGCTCTAGCAATTCAGACTTTATCTTATCTTAACTGTGAAAAACTAAGATTAAAAGTTTCTGGGTTTGTATCACTCAGAGGTTTGGCCTTTGACAACTGACCTCATCACCTCTGTTAGTAGCTGCTCAGAAATTAGTTCTTGTCTGTCCACAAAAATGTTATGTGTGCTTCTGTTTGAACACAATATTTGTAAAAAAACAAACAAACCAACAAAACAAACTAGCATTAAGAATTTACAATTACTTCCACACAAAGTATTGTGAAAAAACTGAAAACAGAATGAGTTGCCAGCATATTCTGGCATCAAAGCTTTTCCAAGTGCCAAAAAAGTTGTTTCATTTACATTCAGTAACCCAAACCCCATATATTGTTTGCAGTTCTCTTTAAAGATCTAATTAAAAATACATTTTTTTAACAGAATTCCCTCATGAATTAGTCATGGACATACTATATATTTTACCATGTAACACCTTCATATACAACTTTAATTGAAACTTACCCTCATGTCAAAAGTATTAGCAGTTCTTGGGCATTTATTGGGAGCAGCTCATGACTCCAGGAGACACTAGTTTGAAACCACATAAATAACTGCAGCAGAAATCACCTTGTGGGATCGGTGCAGGGAATCCAGTTCACTGCTGGATCAGGGATATCCTCCAGGTAGGGGTAGATGGTTTCTCTCGTGAAACGCCAGCCATAAATGCCGTCTTCAGGAGTCACAATGATGTGGGCGCCCTGACACAACAGGCTCCGTTAAGAATTCACCCATCAACAGATAACCAGGAGGAGAAGAAAACACTAATTAACAATGCTCACAACACACCGAGTACCTGCTGGGCAGCTTCCTTGATGGCCTCTTCCAAGACATCCATGTTTCTGTTCATCAGGGCCAAAGCATCCTCAGGAGAAACAGGTTCAGCAGCGGCATCTGGCAGGATGACTGCGTGCTCGTAGACGGCTGCAATGAAGGTGTCAGAGGCAAGGGCCTGAAGGACTGCGAGTGCGAGCACTGCAGTGTGCAGGAGAGTCTGGGAAGGGAGCATGGCTGGTGCCTCACAGCTCCTAGAATGCTCTGAGTCACAGACAAACGGTGCCAAAAGGAGCATGCATTGAAAAGAAAAGAGGGGCAAAGTTTAGCTTTGAAGGAAGGAGGAAGTGCTGGTCTGTTAAAGCATTACCTTGGAATCAAGCATTGATGGTGACATAAGGGAAAGTATAGCAGTACACAGTAAGGATGTTGCAACTCAACAAGACTAAAAAAACAGGCAATGCCATGATTAATTGTGTCAATATATAAATAAGTAATTAAAGACATGGCCAGAAAGAACAGTCCAGTTTTTCTTGGTTTACTTTTCTCTGTCATTGACTGCCTTTTGCTATCGATGTTGGCTCAACTCTGACACCCAGGTAAAAGATGGATATGTCACCCCTAGAGCCTGTCTGTGAAGTTTGAGTGGCAAAACTAAGGATCTTAAGAACTGCTTTATTCTAGTGTCTTCATATTCTCCAATTCCTGTGCTATGTGTTAGTATGTGCATTTTGCTTTCCTGAGTTTCTTTAGACCAAATTAATTACATTAGCATCTCTCTGTATTTAGGTGTAACACACTTAACATGACAGCAACAGAAATGGCCCTTGCATTTATCCCAGTGGCTCTCCCAGTCACTTCTGTTTAGCTGTAAATCACTTTGCATCAGCTTTCCACCGGGAAATATGCATCTGGAGGAAATGTTTTCCTCTGAAATCAAGCAGGTAATCACCTCATTGGCTGGCTGCCACTGGCCTGAAGTGGAAGAACAGGCTAGTTCACCAGGTGCAGTGGCATGCCTGCTCCTCTGCTCACCTTTCTTGTCCCCAGGAATATGCTGTGTATTGAGAGGCCTTAATTTTTAATCTTCAAGTCAGTTCACATGCATTTTTTGCTATGACATTTTCCATTTTTTGACTTTCTAATAGTTGCAGTATTCTCATTGGGAAAAGGTTTTCTGAATAGCAGGAAGAAGAACAGGCTGTCTGCCTTTAGCTACAGCAGACTGTCACGGAATCATAGAAACATCTAGGTTGGAAAAGACCTTGAAGATCATCCAGTCCAACCATTAACCTAACACTGACAGTTCTCAAATACACCATATGCCTAAGTACTATGTTGACCCAACTCTTAAACACCTCCAGGGATGGGGACTCCACCACCTCCCTGGGCAGCCCATTCCAATGCCTAACAACCCCTTCTGGAAAGAAATACTTCCTGACATCTAGTCTAAACCTTCCCTGGTGCAACCTGAGGCCATTCCCTCTTGTCTCATCACTTGCTACTTGGTTAAAGAGGCACACGCCCAGCTCTCTGCACCCTCCTTTCAGGGAGCTGTAGAGGGCGATGAGGTCTCCCCTCAGCCTCCTCTTCTCCAGACTAAACACCCCCAGTTCCCTCAGCCGCTCCCCGTACGACCTGTGCTCCAGACCCTGCACCAGCTCCGTTGCCCTTCTCTGGACACGCTCGAGTCATTCAATGTCCTTTTTGTAGTGAGGGGCCCAAAACTGAACACAGGAATCGAGGGGCGGCCTCACCAGTGCCGAGTACAGGGGTCAGATCCCTTCCCTGTCCCTGCTGGCCACGCTATTGCTGACACAAGCCAGGATGCCATTGGCCTTCTTGGCCACCTGGGCACACTGCTGGCTCCTGTTCAGCCGGCTGTCAATCAGCACCCCCAGGTCCCTCTCTGACTGGCAGCTCTCCAGCTACTCCTCCCCAAGCCTGTAGCGCTGCTGGGGGTTGTTGTGGCCCAAGGGCAGCCCCCAGCATTTGGCCTTGTTGAAACTCCTCCAGTTGGCCTCAGCCCATGGCTCCAGCCTGTCCAGGTCTCTCTGCAGAGCCTCCCTACCCTCGAGCAGACCAACACTCCCACCCAACTGGGTGTCATCTGCAAACTGACTGAGGGTGCATTCGATCCCCTTGTCTAGATCATCCATAAAGATGTTAAACAGGAGTGGCCCCAGAACCGAGCCCTGGGGGACACCACTCGTGACCGGCTGCCAACCGGATTTAACTCTGTTCACCACAACTCTTTGGGCCCGGCCGTCCAGCCAGTTTTTTGCCCAGAGAAGCGTGTGCCCATCCAAGCCACGAGCAGCCAGTTTCACCATGCTGTGGGAAACGGTGTCAAAGGCCTTACTGGAGTCAAGGTAAACAACATCCACAGTCTTTCCCTCATCCAATAAGCAAGTCACCCTGTCGTAGAAGGAGATCAGGTTTGTGAGGCAGGACCTGCCTTTCATAACCCCATGCTGACTAGGCCTGATTTTCCAGCTGTCCATTATATGACTTTTAATGGCACCCGAGATGACCTGCTCCATGACCTTCCCTGGCACCGAGGTCAGACTGACAGGTCTATAGTTTCCTGGATCCTCCTTTCTGCCTCTCTTGCAGATGGGTGTCACATTTGCCACCCTCCAGTCCAATGGGACCTCCCCAGTTAGCCATGACTTGAGGTAAATCTGCTAACTCTTTCAGCACCCTTGGGTGTAACCCATCTGGTCCCACAGACCTGTGTGCATCCAAGTGGTGCAGCATGTCTCTGACCACCTCCTCTTCAACTGTGCTGACCTCATTCTGCTTCCCCTCCCCATGTCCCAGCTCCTGAGGCTGGTGTCCAGGGTACAGCCAGTTCCAGTGCTAAAGACAAAGGCAAAGTAGGCACTGAGCACCTCAGCCTTTTCCTCATCCTTAGTTACCATGTTTCCCTCTGCAACCAGTAAGGGAGGGAGATTTTCCCTAATCCTCCTTTTGATGTTAATGAATTTATAGAAAGATTTTTTGTTATCCTTAACAGCTGCAGCCAAGTTGAGCTCTAGCTGTGCTTTGGCTCTCCTAATGTTCTCCCTGCGTAACTTCACTATGACTTTTTAGTCTTCATGAGAGACTTGGCTCCTCTTCCAAAGGCAATAGATTCTCCTTTTGTTCTTGAGATCCAGCCAAAGGACCCTGTTTAGACAGGCCGGTCTCCTTCCCTGCCTGCTTGTTTTCCAGAACATTGGAACAGCCTGCTCCTGTGCCTTTAAGACTTCACTCTTGAAGTATGTCCAACCTTCCTGGACTCCCATTTCCTTCAAGGCAACCCCCCAAGGGGTTTTGTTAATCAGTCTCTTGAACAGGTTGAAGTTAGCCCTGCAGAAGTCTAAGGTGGCAGTTTTATTAACCCTTCTCTTTGTTTCTCGAAGAATCAAAAAAATCTGATCATCTCATGATCACTACACCCTAGACAGCCTCCAACCTTTACTTCCCCCACAAGCTCTTCCATGTTCACAAGAAGCAGATACAGGAGGGCACCTTCCCTGGTTGGCTCACTCACCAGCTGTGTGAGGAAGTTATCCTCCACACGTTCCAGGAACCTCCTGGATTGTTCCCTCTCTGCTGTGTTGTGCGCCCAGCAGATATCTCGGAGGTTAAATTCCCCCACAAGAACAACGGCAAGTGACTGTGAGATTTCTTCCATTTATAGAAAGCTTCATCCACCTCACAGCTTTGGTTGGGAGGTCTATAGCAGACTCCCACAGCAAGATCTGCTTTATTGGCCCTTAACCTAATGCACGCACTCTCAACCCCGTTGAAAGCGTAGAGCTGTCACTGTAGAGCTGTCTCAGAAAAGACAGAAATATGGGTGAATGAATACAAGTACCAGGGAGTTTTCTGCAAGAATAGAGCTGATTGAGGGTTTCAACTATTAGGAATGTTGATTTGCATCTGGTAACGTTCATCTCTAGGTATTTCTCTACATACATTACTAGATACAGCATGCTCATTTAGGAGCCTTAAATAAGAGCCTTTAAAAGGCTGCAATAGAGATTTCAGTGATAACTGAAGTAATGCAGCTTGGAAGCCTTCCCCCCCCCTCCCCGGTTTTCTTATAAAATATGGATTGAGTCACATTAACCACAATCAGACAAGTCTGAATGAGGAAGCAGCAAACGCTGCCTTGTTTAACATCTAGGTCAACAGTCAGCCCAGAAAGGTGACTATCCTGGCAGGGTTGAGAAGAACAAGTTACAAGTGCAGGGCCGGGGGTACTGCCCCGCAAAGTTCAAGTCAAACTGCCAGGACAGGGGGGCTTCTGTGGTACAGTGGGATGGAGACATCCCTGTCTGCTTCTGTACCAGCGAGCACCACTGCCTACTGCCTGCAGAGCTGGGAGCTCATGCAGGAACCAAGAACTAACTCCAGTTAAACACACAAACCACCTGAAGAAAGCTTAATGAAACTACAGCGGTCCAGGCTATGGTTCCGGGCAATGTAAGAGGAAGGTTACCCTAGAGCTCCCTCCATCTTCCCGGTCCAGTGTCCCCAGCCCTGCACTCTCCCCCCTCTCTGCTACTGCCCGAGAATGGCAGTTATCTAAGGACTTACTTTTGTGAAACAGGATGCGGTCTGATGCTAAATCAGTTTAGCTGCAGAGGTAGTCTCCTTCAGATTGTGATTCTGACCCTTTTCTTGTGCATGGAAGAGTACTCCTAATTTGAAGTGTTAATCATGCTGTGGAGAAGCCTGTATGAAGGGTCATGGCTGCAACCCAGCAATCACTGCAAAGCAGTGAGGACACGTGGTCAGGGGTGAGGAAATCCAAAGCAACTCATTTTTGGCAGCAGTACATAGTTATGTTGCTTAGCTGTACAGGACACCACGCCCTAGGCTGCAGTTACAAAGGTAGAGGACACAGTACTTTCTCTCCGCAAACACGTAGAGTGTTTTCCTATTAAACGAATTGTAGAGGGTTACAATTTAATACATTTACAAACTAAAATCTTGTTTTTACAAAGTTCACTTTGTTCAAAACCAATGTATTTTTGCATCCTGCAAGTATTTTTTATTATGTTGGTCAGATTAAATGCGAACAATGTTTTGATTTCAAAGCAAACATGAAGAACAAACAACAGAATTAACCACACATAGAAATCTTAGCTGTGCCACACAAAGTAATCCAGTCCACTTGCTTAGAAAGTAAAGTCTGAAGGGTCTGCACCTGTACACATGCGTTCAATCAGTTCAAGCTGTGCCCTAGTCTCTCCCAACACTTGCCTGCACAGTCCTGACTCTCCCTTGCACCGGCACAAGCAACCATTTCACGGGAAAACAGATACGCACCTACAAAATGGCTCATTTTGAGAATTTTTTATATGGATCCAGCTGACGTCTTGAAAAAGGGGACACAGTCATAAACAGTTTTGTGAAAAGGAATTTTTCTACCCTAAAAGTGTGGCCAGAAAGATTAAAGTAAACTCCTCCAACTGTAAGTCAGGGCATGACAGGATAACACATTACACTGTGTGCTCAGTTGAATAATTATTTTTTTGAAACAGTGGTGTTCCAAGGCTTGTTTTCTTTTTTCAAAGTGAATAATAAAAGTTGAACCATTGTCTTTCAAAGGTTCTATTAATCTCTGGTTTAGAAAAGTATGTGTTCAGAGATGGGGTGGAACAGTGTTGTAGAAATTATTTTTAATACTCCAACAAAAATTTCAAAGAATTAAAAATTGGTTATTATTGGGCCACAACCCACTTCTGTGTGCCTGAACTCTACACCACTGAAGTCAGAGGGATTCAGTTCTATTGCCTCCAGTGTCAAGGTCAAGCCTACAACAACCAACACTATCATATAAAAACATACAGAACTGCCTAGCAAAGCAATTAATTTTTTCTGCAAAATCAAGTCAACAAATCAATGTGCAATGATTATGCTGTTAGATAAGGCAACCTGAGAAATAGAATGCCATTATAATTACAGCATATTAACAGCGATTAACATTCATTAACATTCGGATTAATTATTATTAATTAGCATTACAGAATCAAGGAGATGAGATCTTAAAGGATCTGCAGTGAAATCATGGTGAAACTTGCTGTGTGTGTGGAGGGTCCTTTTCATACCACCTCCCAAAGAGTGTTACACTCAAAACTGGCTTTGATGTACTAGTCCGACTTATCAGCCGTCCATCAGTTAGCACCTAGTTATGGAAAAGTAAAATAAACAGGAACATCAGCAAAGCAGTACTATTGTATGAAAACCACAAAATAATATATTCATTAATGTTGACCCAGCTGAGAGATGTGGTAGCTCACTTGGAGCTACCATGAAATCTGAGGAAAAACTACACTTCTTTCTTGAGGAAGATCTTGTTCTAGGGGATGTGGAGGGACAGGGAAGAAGGCAATCAGCAAAATGGACCTGCTGTATGAATAAAACCAGGAAAATTAGGCAGAAATAAAGCTGTCTTGAACTCAAGCCAGTTACTGAAATAGAGGATACTGATAACTACCAAGTTGCTCATGTGTCTTATAGTGGCTTTTTGACCATTTGTGTTACACGTCTGACAACTCACAAAGGTGTCCCATTACCTCAAATTCCCCGGGGGCCAGCTGCACCCCACTGTACAAGACTTCTGGAAAGACATAGTTGGTGCCAAATGTGCCACTGAGGGAGAACCTCTCAAACTTGGTCCTAGCTGTCTCCACTGGCTGCCCACATGTGTTCAGGTCTGTGCTCTTGCACTTGAGAAGCGTGCATATCTGTGGGGAGAAGGACACAGAAAAGCAAAATATCACTAAGCTTTCAACAATCAAGAGCTAGATTTGATTGTAAGAAAAGCTACTATGATGAAGAAATGATCCAATACTTCTACTCATTTATTTAGGCCAAGAGGATCTGTGGGTGGCATATAAAACTCTGTAAAAAAACAGTTCTTTGTCAGCACCACAAGAAAGCACTGTGTCTGTGTCTACACACGAGTGTTTATGAGTTATGTGTGCATTCATGCATAATGCATATGCATTTAGTCATAGATGTGGGATAGTTTGTGATGTAGGTAAGTTACTTCAGCTCTGGCTGAGTTTCCTAAAAAGCCGAAGCCACACTTATTTGCCTACTCCAGTGGGAATACACTAAAGCTATAGAGGAAATATATAAAGATATAGCACATTAAAAAAAGCCTAACAGTGAAATTTAAAAGAATCAATACACTGACAAGCTACAAATGTTATATCCATATTTAGTTTCTTATTTTTTGTTAGATAACTGCATGTTAGAGAATCACATGACTGCAATGGTAAAAATCACTGAGCAGAAAACAGCTCTCTGTGACAAGACCATCCCTATGAAGACAGGGAGAACTCTACAATCTCTTTCCCTTTTGTACATATATATATGGAAACCTCCTTGAGGTGTTATAGCACAAAGTCAACTCAGGGTCTTCACTTTCATAATTTATAACAGACAGGCAGGATCAACATCCCTAATGAAGTCAAAATGCATCATGAACAACTGTTTTCAGAGGAGCCTAAAAAATGCCTCCTCTTAAACCCCCTCAATCAAAAATGAGATAAATGCAAATGGACTGCAAAGAAAGTGTTGCAGCCCTCCCACTGTCCAAAGAAGAACAGAAAACCTTTACCTGCAAATAATACTCTCCTTCAACAACATGTAGCCCATCAAAGGCACCCAGAACATAAATGTCGTCTTTCTGCTTCTCTTCCATCTTGTAACTCAGATGGCAACAGAGGTCCTGCTGGCAAATGGCACAATCTCCCTCAGGTTCAGTGAGCTCCGTGAAGGAGAAGGTATCATGATAAATAACCCCACTGAAATAGTGGTTGTTTGATGGAAGCTGTTCAGTCCTGCTGGCATATGATTTCCAGTCAACAGCAGCAGGATAGTCAGGAGAGAGACGTGGGTGTGAACTCAGTTCTGTCACCAAAAGGTGACCACTTTCCATTTCTGTATTGTAATAATATGCTCTCGGACCTTCTGGGGCATAAATACCACTCCCTGCAAACACATAACACCAGAAAGCTTTTAATCTGAAAGTAAGTGTATGGGACAAGTAAGCAGTCTTCACTAATTAAACATGTGTACTAATTAAACATGTGCCAAATTTTATTCTAATGTTTACCAGATTGTTTTGAAACTAAATCAAGCCTCCACAGACTACAATGCTAACCTAATGCTTTTTGCAATCAATGGAAAGTAGACCAAACTCTGATGTTTCCTATATTGTAAGTGATTAGTGTGCCAATTATATGCCATTATATATGATTTAAGTGGCTGAAGCTGTACATTCCTCATTGAGTTTAGCTGAATTAGCAGTATTTCTGATTAAAATTAATGGTAACACTGTCAAATCAAAAAAAAATCTGTAAGGGAAAGGTATTACCAAAAGTCACATCTTTATGCAAGCTCTTTACATAAATACATAAATCTTTAAAACCCAGAGTAAAACTTATCCATAAAGAATATGAGTTGTATGACATAAGGTCATCAATGACTAAGAACTAAAGGACCGGCCTATATCTGCTTTTATTTGGAAGGCAGAGTTTAGGGCTACATTTCAGCAACACCAGTAAGTCTCTCTCGCTTCTGCAAGCACATGCACACAAAATTTGTGTTTGACTTCTAGCATCTGCTCAATAAAAATATACAGTGAAAACAGAGCTTGCAAAGAAAACATGACACAGCCTCCAGCCCAGAAGTAATGTTTGCAGGACTCAAAAGAACATTCCTCAGAGTTAGGTTTCCACCTAGTGGAGGAAAAAAAGTTTGGGCCTTCACATGATCAAAATAAACACCAGGGTCAGAAGATGAAGAATCACATGCATAAGCTCTCAGGACTGATCATTTAATAAATAACTAAAGGTGTTCTAGTCAACTTAAGCACTTCTGAGTTCTTCTGTATCACATTCTGATTTCCTTTTTGTCTATACAGGTCCTAATCCCATTGGTATGTGAATGCATGCCTAAAGCTGATGGGAATTTCTGCTCAGGTCAACTGCACTACATAGATGTAAATGTTGCCCACGTGAACAAGATCAATTAGAGCAATATCATATTACCTGTCATGTCTAAAGTGGAGTTGCACGTATTTGCTGAAAGAAAGTTGACCCCCATTCCCATGGCCCATGCTGAGTGAAACTGGACTGCTGACAACAGTGGAAGAGTGTTAACCCAAGCGGTTGGGAACAGAATGGTGTCAACCTGAAATCTGCTTGCCAAGACCACAGCTGGGTCATGGAAGAGTATGTCTGCACAAGTGAAAATGCCAAAGTAGCCAAAGGAGGTATTGAAAGTCACAAATTCAGGATCCTTGGGGTAATTAAACTGTTTCTCTGTCACAAAAAGGTTGTACTGTTCATAGAAAGGAAGGAACGGGGGAAAAAAAATATTAGAAATCAAATCATTTAAATCAGACTAATATTGAATATTGAATATAATACTCATTCACTTAAACACAAGTAATAAAGATTATGTTGTGTGAACATGCTGTATCTTAATTTTGAAAAGAAGAATTTATACCACTTCAAGAGGAGTCAAGCACAAACATCCATGGTTCTGATTTATACCAGTGAAGGAGGATTTGTATTTAGTTAGCAACAGTTTAGGGCATTAATGTTTTATTATCTCATGTGTTACTTCATATTGAGAAGCAGTAAAAATAGAAGGCTTATTGAGTTTGAATTAATGTCATTTAATTACTTGCTATTAAATTCAGAATAGCAGGAATTAATATCTCTTAAGGCAGTGGCTTTCACCTGCCCTCTGACGCCTGCTCTATAATGGCTCCATATACAAATACATTTAAGCCTGGGAAGCAGCTTCTGTTTCACATCTTTAATCACCTGAGGATCATGCACTTCCTGAACATTGTAAAATCCTCTTACCTTGTGGTAACGAGCCACCAGTTTCCCTTCTGAGTCAAAGACAACATTGGTATTGTACTGATAGCGACCATCACTTGGGCACCTTGGATCACTGGAGTTACATGGCTTCTTGTCTCCCATATTTGCAACCACATAGATGGAGTTATTCTTTGCCATACAGCTTAGTCTTTCCAGAACAGGTGAGGGAGCAAACCTAAACATCAGGGAAGGAAGAAAGGAAATAAAAAGTCAAAACCAGCCAATCCATAAAAATGACAACACCAAGACTGCAGATCACAAGAATGATAAGTTTAAGTTATTCATATCTAATATGAAACTGTCATTTTCTGTTATTCAACACAAGGCAGTGGTTTTGTGCTTCAAAGCTTAGTGTGCTGAAACTGGCTTCACCTCACATTGACTATGTGAGGAACACAGGGATTTCCTTGCAGTGAAAGCGAATCTTTGTACCTTAAAGTCTCCCTTCTGCTGCCAGCATGTGGCACAGCACTGACGTTACTCCAACACATGGGCTAATCTCAGACGTTCTGCTTCAGCTCTTGATTTAGCTGCTGTGCTGAAGTAGTTTAGGATTTATTTCTTCTATGGTGTGTTTTGTTACCTTTCACCAAATATTACAGCTTCAAAAAATGGTGCAATTTATTAAGGAAAATAAAAGAATAAAAAGGCTACCATATCATTATTCAAAAATATAAATTTGAAACTGTACAGCATATCCTTTCAGTAGTAGCTGTTATTTTATTCACAATTATTCCTAATATTCCTGTATCTTAAATATTTTCTTCAACATGCATGGAATACATTGCTGAAACGTAGATTCTATAAGTTTTTATTTTTCTTTTAAAGAAATCTTAACCTTTATGAGTATACTAACTAAAATCAAAACAATTACAGCAAGAAAAAAACAACAGAGAAAAATGATGAAGTTGCCAGAAGATATTTATGGCAACTACACATTGTCTAACCTGCCTTCATTTCACAGCAGTTGCTCCAAGACATTTAAAACTATCAACAACCACTTCTAAAGGTAGCCGTCTTTCCCATCAGACTGTTTGTCCATGCACAGCAGTGATGATACCTTCCAGGATCAGCACATGGAATCCAGTTCACCTCTGGGTCTGGGATATCCTCAAGGTAAGGGTATATTGTTTCCCTTGTGAAGACCCAGCCATAAATGCCATCTTCAGGCGTCACAATGATATGGGCACCCTAGTACCAACATACAAACCCAGAACACACCATTAAGAAAATTAGTAAATGGTCAGTGTTTACCAAAGTGAACATCTCCAGCTCTGTCATAATACCTGTCTGGCTGCTTCCTTAATGGCTGCTTCCAAAATTGCCATATTTTTGTCCATCAGCACCAAGGCCTCCTCAGGAGGAACGGGCACTTCAGTGTCCTCTGACAAGAGCACGCTGTGCTCGTAGACGGCTGCGATGTAGCTGCCCAGGGCACAGGCCTCCACTGCGGACAGCACCGAAAGCACGGCACAGGCACAGGCACAGGCACAGCCTTTAGGAAGGCCCATGCCTGGGGGCTGGAAGTCGCCCAACAGGAGGCCGGGGACAAGCAAAGGCAGGGGGGGGTTAAAAAGAAAAGTCTTGTACAAAACCTGGGAGTTCCCCAGAGCGGCAGAAAGCTGACACCAGGAAATGCAGTCGCCCCGCCCAGAAGGTCGGGCACCATCACAGGCGAGAGAGCCGCCGGCATTGAGCAATGCGGCCTTGCACCACCGGCAGGGGAGTCACCGCTCTGCTGCAGCTGAAGAAACACGTCGCTTGCCAGGTTTACAGATGATTCGGGCATGGCACTGCTGTAGTAATGCAGTTCAAGGCAAGCCCAGGTTACCGCAGGAAAGCAAGCCAGAGTTTGGGAAATCTCAGCAAAAACCAGCACGGACACATGGCTGCCCGAGCTCGAGGGTGCGGGTGCAGGCAGGGCTGCAGGAGGAGGCGGCCGGCCCCCAGCTCGGTGCTGCTGTGCTGGCGCTGCCTGTGCCGCCCCAGCTCAGGGCTGCTCCAATCTAGCCATGTGTAGTTTGGCTCTACGTGGCACAGTCCCTATTTACTACAGCTTCACAGATTGTTCAAAGGTGTTAGCAACAGCAGATGGATATTCAGATCTGCCACCACATGAGACAAGCACAGCAGTAGCCAGGGGATTGCTAAACTTCCTACAGGAGGCCTGACTGATCTGCTTTAACCATGTGTCCAGGACCCCTGCATAATCATGGCAGGAGAGCATGCTTGTCAGTTTAAGAAGAAACCTGGAAATAGGATTCCCCTTTGGGTTTCTTTCACCTCTGTTGTGCATGTGAAAGAATGAGGAGGCGAGAGGATGTGTTTCCAGAAAACTAGAGGGATTAGTTAAGCCTGTCTAGTTTCTACTGGAGTGCTAGTGAAGCTCACATGCTGCAAGACATCTCATTAATTTCAAGGACTTTTGTGCTCCTAGCCATTTCCAAGTCCTAATGGCACAAGCCAGGTAAGTGAACAAGTCATTCCACAAAGAGAGATAATTAAGTCTCATGCCTACTGATCTGCATCTTGTGTGCTTTTAGGACCTCTAGTCCTTCTCATCTGCCTCACCATCAGCACCTCAGGGCCAGCACTTCATAACAGGTTGAGGTTTACATTCCCAGTTTCAGTAAAGTCTAACATCTGATACAAAAGGAAAGGGAGCTGTTGCCAGGATGTGTCCAGGGGAAGCCTGCCCTTTGGTACCCTAATGCTTCACAGTTTATCTGGCTATCAGAGCAGTTCTTGCTAGTGCCCTCAAAAGGGCTCTGGCAGAGAAAAGCATTTCTCATATAAATTCCAGCAGTTACTCACAAGAGAAACTGATTGGAAATTGCTAGGATTAGACCCTTTTTCTTATTTATGGAAAAATGGGTACCACAGAGAACCCTTTCTAGGACTCAGTTCTGGACTCAAGGACAAATTAAAAGACTTTTGCCACAACCGAGGTCAAGAAATCTAGCGTGAGTTCACCAGGCATTTCTTTGTCTCGGTTTCCCTTGCCTTTTTTTGCTGAGCATCTGGACATGAGGAGGGTTTTTTTTTCTCTATTGTTGGAAAATTGTAGACCTTGACTTTGATAGATTTACAGTTGCCAACACAATTAGTACAGACATTCCAGCTGGCATTCATTAGTAGAATAGCTCTCACACACAGCAATCTGAGTCTTCATATATTATACAAACATACATATGTCTGTGGATGTACTTCTACACACATAATGCCAAGTCTCCTCTAGAACTGAAGATCAGTTAGTTCTGTGTGGAGATACACCTTCTTTTCATCACCTTTGCCTCCCCTTTTCAGGCACTTTCAAGTGCTGGTAGACACAAAGTCCTTTAGACTCATATTGTCTAAGAAAATTCACAAAACTTAGGAAAAAAAAAGTTGCTTTAATGAAAACACTATTGTGCTTAATGCTTTGTCATTCCAAAATCTGTTTCAACGTTTTATGTTATCAGTTAAGGTATTACAAAATAATGAATTTTGTTTTAAAAAATACAGAAATCATGGTAGCAAAATAGTAGCTTTACCAAGAATAATGCACAGCAGGCTCAACTATAGAAACCAAACATTTGAAAACACACCTCTTCACATACAGTGGTGCACTGTATATGAAACACAATTAAACAGGCTGACATCTGAGGATTATTCATCACTTCAGCCAATCCACATGAGGACTTCCAAAAGAAAGGCAGTCAGTGTTCAGTGTTTCAAAACTGTAATGCAGCTACAACTAAGCCACAATTGGTTGTTCACTAAGGGATCATGCATGTAGTCCAGCTCCAGAATAATGAAACACTGTTAAGTCCACTCATTTCAACACTAGGTTAAACCAAAATAGTAAACAGAGAATTGCAAGTATGTCTGGCTATGTTTCACTGCCCATCAGATGAGTCCTTTCTTCATTATCACCAGGAGAAGTTTGCAGACTGGAACTGGAACTGTTTGCACAAGGAAGAGAACAGGAAAAAAAAAACAGGTTTAATATTCTCAAGATACAATATCAATATTCTCTGGACAATACCAACATTATAGCAAAAAAAAAAAAAAGCACCACACATTATGTGGAAAGAATTATGTGGATCACTAGATTTGGTTTCCCACTATTTGTACAGAAACATGTATTACTGCTTTCACACCTATCATTTCACAGAATCACAGAATGGTTTGTGTTGGAAGGAACCTTTAAAGGTCCTCTAGTCCAACCCCCTGAAATGAGCAGGGACATCTAAAGCCAGATCAGGCTGCTCAAAGTCCCATCCAACCTGGCCTTGAATGTTTCCAGGGATGGGGCATCTACCACCTCTCTGGCCAACCTGTTCCAGTGTTTTACCACCCTCATTGTAAGTTTATTCCTCATATCTAGTCTGAATCTACCCTCTTTTAGTTTAAAACTGTTACCCCTTGTCCTAACACAACAGACCCTACTAAAAAGTCTGTCCTCATCTTCCTTGTAAGTCCCCTTTAACTACTGAAAGGCTGCAGTAAGGTTTCCCTAGAGCTTTCTCTTCTCCAGGATGAACAACCCTAACTCTCTAGGCCTGTCTTCATAGGAGAGGTGTTCCATCCCTCTAATAATTTTTGTGGCCCTCCTCTGGACCCGCTCCATGTCTTTCCTGGGCTGAGGACTCTACAGCTGGACACAGTACTCCAGGTGGGGTCTCAAGAGAGCAGGGTAGAAGGGGAGAATCACCTCCCTTGACCTGCTGGTCAGGCTTCTCTTGATGGAGTCCAGGATATGGTTGGCTTTCTCAGCTGCGAGTGCACATGGCCAGCTCATGGCCAGCTCTTCAACCACCAGTACCCCCAGGTCTTTCTCAACTGGATTGATCTCAATTCCTTCATCCCCCAGCCTGTACTGATACCAGAGGTTGCCCTGACCAAGATGCAGGACCTTGCACTTGGCTTTGTTGTACTTCATGATGTTCACATGGGCCCACTTATAGAGCTTGTCCAGGTCCCTCTGAATGGCATCCCGTCCCTCAGGCATCTCAACTGCACCACTCAGCTGGGTGTCACCTGCAAATTTGCTGACAGTGCACATGATCCTACTGTCTATGTCTTTGGTGAAGGCAGTAAACACTACTTGTTCCAATATGGACCCCTGAGGGACACCATTCGTCACTGATCTCCATCTAGACATTGAGCCATTGACCACTATTCTCTGAATGTGACCATCCAGCCAACTCCAGCTCACAGACACACTCCTGGAGAAACCATCAGGAAGGTTTACTTCTTAATGCCACAGTCTTGTTGCTTGTATAGAACAGGCATTGTCTGGTTTAGGTCTCTGTTTAGGTGAGTAGGGATTTAGAAAAGCAAAAGATACAAAGTATTTAAGCAGTATTTTTACTGCTCATCTTGTCATTCATTATCAGGTTGGTAGTGAGGAAAAAATGGAAGCACAGGTTTCAAAGGTTTGCTTTATATGGCTGCAAGTAAAATAAAGAATAAATATATCAGCATACCTTGTCCTTGTTGCCTCAATGATATAGAATATTCCAGCTGCAAGACCCTTTGAGGAAACAATCAGTTATAATTATAATAGTAATAACCTTATTTGATAGCTTTTAATTGCAATAGATATAAATAGCAAAAAATGTGTAATTACTTACACTCAACAGTGCCCATCCTCCCTGGATGGCTGAGGCCCATTCAAAGCCCAGTTTTTCATTTAGAAATCCTCCCAGAGTGGGACCTGCAAATGCCCTGCAACAAATCAGAATGAAGCATTGGCATCCCAGACAAAAAAAAACAGATCATTTTCTCAGAGAAGTTTTTTACTGTGTTGTGTGGCCTCCCTCCATTTATTCTCCCCACTTTGTCAACAAAGAAATTGTTTTCCACAGACCTAACTTTCCTATAATCCAGAATAAGTATTAATTCTTTGTTTGCAAGGACTCCAATAAACCTGACTAGTTATCTCCTCAGCTGGAAATAGGATCCACATCAGAAAGCTGAATGCACACTTTTCCATATCTGGAAAGGCTTAAAGCCCCCATTAAGGACCATGTTAGAACAGGGCATCTAGACCAATCAATTCTGTCACAGAACAAATTTAAAATCTCATCCCTCGAAATGTATAACTTCCAAACTTCAAGAGAAAACTGATTGATGTAGACAGGTGGGGAGGTACCTTGTGACTGATGCAGTCACTGCAAGGTTGAGCTGTATATAACTGCCTTGCACCTTCATGCCTGTCTAAGAATGCCATGAAAGGTTATGCAGCTGCTGTCACTTTATGTAAGGTCTTACATGATTCAGTCTCTCACTACAGAAAGGGACAAAACTAGAGAGACCTCCTGGAAGGAAGTCATGAAATTAAACCAGATTTGATAACAGCATAAAACTGGGGTTTGGCAACTTTATACTACCTATATTGGTACTGAATCCTACACCAGATGAACAGGACAGCTAGAACTTCAGTTAGCTTAGAAAAAAAGTGGTGCAAATTTGTACCACTGAAACCCACCTGCAACCACAGAGGACTACAAGGGCAGATAAAAAAAATCCTGGAAGTGGCTGTCAATATGGGGACTCCATCACTTCCCACTGAGTGACAACTCTGAAGGGTCACTCAGCCAGCAAGTGCCTTTCACTCATTTCTGTGATGACCACTGGGTAACAAACACAGACACATTCTGCTAAGCTACACAAACACAAACATTAAATAATGACTGTGCCTGAAAGAGAAGATTCTATCCCAAGCTATCCCAGAAAAAAGTAGGAGATGTGGAAGATTAAAAAGGTAGAATAGAATTAGTCAGGAGCAGATACCTTCTAGCTCACTCCATGTGAGTGGACTTAGCTTTTAAAAAATCAGGGTCCATCTCTCTCTGTATTAAGCATTAAATACTTCAGTGACAACAAAAATGACCACACAGAAGCACAAGCTAACATCCACTTAATCACCACAGCTTTTTGATATGCAGGGTAATACATTTCAAGGAAGACAAGTTCAGAATCCATTTGTTGGCTAAAAAGTTTT